AATACTTCTGAAACATCTCCGTGTATTAGATGGGAAGCATTCAAAGCCTTCATTAGAGGCCAAATAATTAGCTTCACAAGCTCAAAATCTAAGAAGGCCAGACAAAAGCTGAAATTATTGGAATCAAAAATTAAAGCCACTGAGGATATGTACTTTAAGAACCCCTGTCCCAAGCTGCACCAAAGTTTGCTGTTATTAAGAACCGAATATAATAAAATATCAGCTTCAAAAGCTACAGCTAACTTATTAAAACTTAAGCAGTCCATTTTTGATCAAGGGGAGAAATCAGGTAAAATTCTGGCTTGGCGTATAAAACAATTCCAATTAGAAAGATCAATCACGGCACTTAAAAATGATAAAGGGGAAACGATCTCTGACCCTGCTGCAATAAGTGACTCTTTCAAGATCTATTATGAAAAGTTATACAGTTCTGACCTAAACTCAGGTGAACCGGACCCCAATTTTTTCTCTTTTCTTGACAATATGAATATCCCCAGAATAGAAGAAGAGGAATCCTTGAGACTGGGGGCTAAATTGACTCTGGACGAAATCTCAGAGGCAATAATGAGTATGAATTCTGGAAAGGCTGCAGGGCCAGACGGTCTGCCAATTGATATCTATAAAAAGTTTGTATCCAAATTAAATGCACCCCTTTTGGAAATGTTTTCTGAATCTGCTCAAAAGGGGATACTCCCACCCACTCTGAGGGGGGCCTTAATTACACTTCTTCCCAAACCTGGAAAATCGAATGATAAATGTGAAAACCTGCGGCCAATTAGCCTCTTAAACTCAGACTTAAAGATACTCTGTAAAATTCTAGCAAAGAGACTGGAGGGCCTTTTGCCAGACATCATCAAGGAAGATCAAAATGGGTTCATGGTTGGGCGTCAGGGATTCCACAATGTTCGACGAGTGTTAAATATTTTGTACGAGCAAGGGGGGTCTTCAGATACAGCTTTCTTGGCACTAGATGCCGAGAAGGCTTTCGATAGGGTGGAATGGCCCTATTTGCTTGAGGTTCTTGGTCGCTTTGGTTTGGGAGTGGGATTCTGTAACTGGGTCAGGCTCCTATATAATAACCCATATGCAGAAATAATTACTAATAATGTTATCTCAAAACCAGTTGAGATTGGGAGAGGTTGTAGACAAGGTTGCCCCCTATCCCCCCTTTTATTTGTAATTGCAATTGAACCACTTGCTATTGCTGTAAGAGAACACGGTATGATCACGGGTATAGGGATCGGAGGGCTCGACCATCGAATAGCTCTTTATGCTGACGATGTGATCCTCTTTCTTAAAAATCTGGGAAAGTCTATTCCAGCCATTTTAGACCTAATTGGAAAATTTGGACATATTTCTGGTTATAAAATCAATAAATCAAAATCTTCTATAATGCTTTTGAACTCAGAAGAAAGGATGAATCCACCTAAATACACCTGCCATTTTAGAAATGTGAATCAGTTTACTTATCTAGGTATTCAGATTGTCCCAAAATTGGAAGAGGTGGTGAACCATAATTATAGTCCAATTATGACTGACATATCCAAATCAGTGGAGAGATGGTCGAGTCTCCAAATTTCACTGATTGGTAGAATAAATATACTAAAGATGAACGTGCTCCCTAAGCTTCTGTATCTGTTTCAGAATATCCCCTTGCCACCCCCCTCAGACTTTTTCCTTAAAATAAGAAAACTGTTTAATCAGTTTTTATGGAATAACAAGCGTCCCAGACTTCGCTTATCACTTTTGTACTTGCCCTTTGATGCAGGAGGGCTGCAATGTCCTAACATGGTTTGGTATTACTGGGCAGCCCAGTTAAGAACTATAATGTTCTATTATGCTGCAGAAAAGCCCCCCGCATGGAGAACTATTGAGTCTCTCTCTCTTAGGCTTCCACTTCCTACATATGTATACTCTGATAAATATAATAAACTCAAAGACATTACGCTTAATCCTATAGTTAAAAACATGATTTATATCTTACATGTCACTCAAAGATATTTAAACGTAAAATCTCCCCTCTCCGTTTTTAGCCCGATTTGGGGCAACAATTATTTTGCCCCGGGTAGGGCGGACGGTGGTTTTAAAATGTGGGCAGACTCGGGGCTGGGACTGGTGAAGGATGCTTTCGGGGGTGATGGAAGACTTTTAAGTTTTGAACAACTAATCTCTAAATTTAATATTCCCCGAAAGCACTTTTTCAAATACCTACAGTTTAGGAGTTTTATCAGGTCTTATCATAATGATTTTACACATATTCCCCCGCTGTCCACATTAGAGAAAATCCTAACCAAAAACCCCATGGTAGAGGGATGATATCTGAATTATACAACTTGATGATGACATCCTCTCCTGATTCATCTGCTACTAAGCTTGAAGCTTGGAGGTATGACTTACAGGAGGACTTGACAGTGGAACAATGGAGTAGAGCATGTAAGCTAGCCCAAACACAGACAGGGAACACACGTCTAAAATTGCTACAATTTAATTGGTTGATGAGAGTGTACATAACACCAGAAAAACTTAACAAATTTAATATGCAGATTCCTGATATCTGTAATAGATGTGAAGAAGATAAGGGCACATTGCTCCACTGTTTATGGTCATGTCCAAAAATAAAGGAGTTTTGGGAAGAGGTTGGAGCAATGATAAAGGAGATTTTGTCAATTAAACTTGTGATGGATCCCAAACTTTTCCTACTGGGATTATATCCTGTAGGGTGTAACATAGATCATTTTGAAAAAATCTTCATAAACATGGGAATACTACAAGCAAAGAGAGTGATAGCTCTAACGTGGAGGAGTCTTGGCAAACCAAGTATTTCACATTGGTTCAAAGAATTGTCTTTATGTTTACCATTAGAGAAAATTACATATACTCTAAAAGATAAACAAGAAATTTTCCAGAAAATTTGGGGGCGCTACATCCAGTATATTGGGAATAAAGATCTATCTGGTTTACTGTGTGAGACAGGGACAGCCTAGCTATTCCCTGTACAGGACCACAACCATATGCTGCAAGCTGAAAATTATTCTTTAAAATCTGTCAGAGGTCTCATGGACTCAAGTGCTTTCATTGAATGTACCTTGTGTTTCGTTTGTTGTGTAAATTTGTTTGTGTATGTATTTAATATATGTATATGTGTAAAACTTTAATAAACATAATGTTGAAAAAAAAATCCCTAAAGCAAGAGTTCACTTGACAATGGTAACTATTTTAAATTAACATTTGAAATGATGACTCTGAGTGTCAGGTTGAAATAAAAAGACATCTCTGATATAAGCATACCAAACCTGATCCAGCAGTAGGACTAATGTATGAGTGTTTCACTTGGTCTGTCTCAAGACTCAGCTATGAAAGGCCATGATGTGTTTAAAGGGAGGAGACTAAAAGCAGTTAATAACAGAGCTAATACGGAAATGAAACTAGTGAGCAGCAGGATATCGACAGGGACACTTCACAGATCAACTGACTGCAAAAGACAATAATGGCCAGTAAGTCCATTTAAATCTTTTATTTACATAATGTTCAAACACATATCTTTAAAAAAACAATATGTCTGAGAAATTTCAAACACATTAAGGGTTTGTTATTTGGCAGTTATAATGTTGTTTTTTAAAGTAGCAAGGATAAATTTAGGTGCTCTGGTTCAATTTACTTTTGGGAGTAATAACTTGACCTTTTACTGATAAATAACAAAATTTATTTTCTTTTGTTACTCAAAAGGAAAGGAAGCTTTGTGAAACCCAAACATTCCTATAACCTTGATCCAGGTTTCAGAATATTATTTTTTAATCCTCTACCTGGAAAAAAAAATCAATTGGCTCCCTTTAACAAATACAGATTTCAATAGTAGGTGATTTACCTGGTGTTGTGTTCACAGCTGAAGCTCTGTGCCAAAGATAACCATACACAGAGACATTATCAGAGAGAAATGTGTCACTCAAAAAACCCAACTTTAAATTTTCAGGAGAATTCATTAACAGCAATGATGCTGGTTGAAATTTAACTTCCTGTCATGATTTTACAAAGTTTGTGTCCAAATTCATGGGCTGCATCCTCCTGAGGCCGCATTTGTAGACTGATTACATCACAGCGATGCGCCGAAGGCTGTCCAAATTCGTAGACTCATCTGAATGCAGCCGACAAATGCGTCCTCATTTTCCCCGAATTTGAAGGATGGGTCGGGTGTGTCCTTTGTGCCCTACCATATCCCAGAATTCATAGCGCGGCCCAGCCAAACTCCAGTTTCCAACAATGGCGGTCGCTACTAAGTTTTAAAATTACTCATACTAATGTTTCTGGGTCACAAAATAAACTTCTAACATATTTTCAGTAGCTGTGTAAACATCAAATATCTGCTCGGCTTATCAAGATATCGCATATTTGCAAAAGTGCTTCGACGTTTTCGGAGACATCTGCTACCCACCAGCTCGATAGCTAGCCGGGAGCTCGAGGGTTACTGATGCGGCCGAGAACGGCACAACTCCCGGCACATCATTTTCAGATCACCGCGGACTTTCGCTGCTCGGGTTAAACGTAATATATAAGTCACTTAGACAACCTAAAAATGTTATTGTTGGGCTTTTTTCAGTGTTTTGTTTGTTCGTGAGTAAATCGGTTTGGCTGAGATTAAAGTTATTAGATTAGATAAAATAAAACTTTATTAATCCCCCGGGTGGGTTCCTCCTTGGTTTTTACACAGCTGAATAAACGTCAAACAGAAAACAGATTAAACAGAAGTATGAGACGGTGGAGAATTTACGCCAGTGTCCTGTTGTATTTTAGATAGCAAGGAGCAGACAGCTGAGTTTATTAAACTCCACCGAGACAGCAGTGACACTAATCAGAAGGCTAGACCGTCCAATTTCCGCAGCCATTTACTTCCGGCTTACCCGACCTTCTGAGGACCCGGCCCACGTAGACCGCGAAGGCCGAGTCCTCAGGAGGATGCAGCCCATGAATTTGGACACGACCAAAGAATATACCCATAGGGCAGAATCAGACACCTGACAAAAGTGTGAAAGGTTTCTTTACAACAGGAGTGGTGTTCAGGGAGGATCTGCAAAAAGGTGCTTTATTTGAAACACACTCTCTGTTGCTTCACACACTCATTATATTCACAGTATTTACGCATTGTGTCTTTTGAATTTTGGTAGCTTAGCTTAGCTAATAGCCAACATACTAGCAGCAAGGCTTCTTCACCTGTCCCTTCTGCACTTTCCTGGTCATTGTGTCAGTTGTTTAGTGGCCAAAGCATACCACAAACTGTCTATAGACCCCCATCCCAGACAGGATGTATGAAACAATTTATATTGTAAGGTAGACCCTATAATGATACATACAGAGAAAAATCCAACAATCATATTACCTTGCTTGTACCCACATAGCAAAATTGGTGTGGCCCCGATCTGGCCCACGCAATGTTCTTACACATGGCCCACATACTGCAAAGAATGACGGCCCTTTGGTGGCCCAGAACTGGTTTTCCAGATGTGGCCCACACGTTCCGCTCGCACACATTGGCAGCTGTGTGAGCTTAGATTTGGAGTTGGCAAGATGGCGCCAGTATGTTCGGCTCGCCGTCACTCCTCCTCCTGTTTTCTGGTTTTCTGTTTGCTGTTCTTTGCCTTAACTGTGGAAATTAACTCGCTCTGGACTTATGACCGAAAAACTCTTTTTATCATCCGAGACTCAGCAGTGACAGCACCTTTGTCCTCTGTCTCTGATGGGCAAACAAGCGGTGCGCCTCCTCCGTTCGATGGCATTCCACCTTACCTACGTCGCACCTGGTTCCTCCCTCCCAAACTACACCGGAGAAAACGCTGGAGAAGACGAGGGAAGCGAAGTGGTCTCCTGGCTCGTACAAAGGCATTCCTGTCACTTTCTTGCCTGGCTGATCCTCTCCTCGCCCAGATGGGTTTCTGCTACTCTGCCGCGGTGAGGGGCTCACTTCAATCCAGGGGACCCTGGGTGCAAACTGTCTCTCCAACTCCGCCTGCTGTTGCTCCAGCTTTACCGGTAGGCCCGCTTCTTGGCCCGCGCCTCCCTCGGTCATCTGGCTCATTCCTCGCCATGCCGGCGGCGGCGTTCTCCTCTGGTGGGCGACTCTCTGCCATCTCCGGCCCACGCCTGGTGTCTGCTCCTTTCCTGCGTGATTCTCCAAGTGCGTCGCTCGTTGTTTCTGTTCCGGGTCCTGGGTCATCGGCTCCTTTACAGCCACGGATCCGCAGACTTGGTACTACTAATTCTAACCTGCGCCCACTCACCCGCACATCAACCCCGATGACAGCTACTGATCTCACCTTATCTATGGCTTTGATCAACACTCGATCCCTCTCCAATAAGACGTTTTTGCTCAAGGATTTTTTCTCTTCTTATGATCTGGATTTTATGTTCCTGACGGAGACCTGGCTGCATGCTGGTGAGACTGTGGCTTTCTCTGAGCTTCTTCCTCCAGGCTGTTGTTTTTTCAACACTCCCAGATCCTCTGGCAAAGGCGGAGGCCTTGCCTGTGTTTTCATATCTGTTTATGACTGTAATCAGATTTCATCTTCCTCCTTTTCCAGCTTTGAACTACAGCTTTTTAAATTAAACTCATCCACTCCGTTACTGTGTGCAGTGGTATATCGTCCTCCCAAATTCAACAAGGACTTTATCAGTGAGTTTGGGGAATTCCTTTCAGGACTTTCAGTAGATTCTGATCATTTTCTTATTGTTGGTGACCTGAACATTCATGTGTGCTGTCCATCTAAACCTCTGGTTAGAGACTTTGTTTCACTGCTGGAGTCCTTCAACCTTACTCAGTGTGTGTCTGGCTCCACACATGAGAAAGGTCACACATTGGACCTCGTCATGTCTCACGGCTTGGGTATCCACGTCTCTGAAATTTGTGAGAGTGCGTGCATCTCTGATCATTTTCCTGTTCTATTTTCTGCCACTGCACATTGCTCTGATGCTGCAGTTAAACCTCCTTCACGCCATCACCGGATCATCAATACCCATGTACCATCCCAGTTTTCTGCTGCTTTTAGAAACTCTGAGCTCTCCACGGTGGATTGGATTGATTCCCTGTGTGCAGATGATTTAACTGCTCTTTTTAACTCAACATGCACTTCTATTCTGGACCTCATCGCTCCCCTAAAATCACTCCGTCCCAAAGCCCACGCTGAACCCTGGTTTACAGACTCTGTTCGTGCTCTCAGGCACTCCTGCAGGTGTGCTGAGAGAAAGTGGAAAAAGGACAAGCTGCACATTTCCTTTAACATCCTGAGAGACTCTCTTTCAACTTATCAGAAAGCCGTTAAAGAGACAAAGTCCTCTTACATATCAAACCTGGTTAGCAGTAATGTCCATAAACCTCAGACTCTGTTTCGTGTTTTAAATTCCATTGTAAATCCTTATACACCCACCAGCCTCACACCTTCTGCCACCCTCTGTAATGACTTTTTAAATTTCTTTGTAAATAAGATTTCCTCCTTGCAGTCTGTCATCCCATCTCCACCTTCCAATCCCTGTGTTTCTTCTTTGTGCCATTCTGCCTTTAACCAGTTTGAGCCAATCTCTCTTTCTCAGCTGCATGAAACAGTCTGCAAGGTTAAGACTACAAACTGTTCCACTGACGCTATCCCCTCTCGGCTTCTGAAGCAGGTTCTGGACTCAGTTGGACCTGTCCTTCTGGTCCTGATCAATGCCTGCCTCAGCTCTGGTTGTTTCCCAACACCCTTTAAGCACGCTGTTGTTCAACCTCTCCTCAAAAAGCCTAATCTAGATCCATCTTTACTCTCTAATTATAGGCCCATCTCCAACCTGCCTTTTCTGTCCAAAGTACTGGAACGAGCCGCCCTCACGCAGCTCCAGTTATTTTTAGACAACAACAATCTCTATGAGAAGTTTCAGTCTGGTTTTAGAGCTCGGCATAGCACGGAAACCGCCTTACTGAGAGTTTTTAATGATTTGCTTTTAACTGTTGACTCTGGTTGTGCTGCTGTCCTAGTAACCTTGGACCTGACAGCAGCTTTCGACACTGTTGATCACAACATACTGTTATCCCGCCTTCAACACTGTGTCGGTTTGAAGGGCACTGTCTTAAAGTTTTTCCAGTTCTATTTGAATAACAGGAGTTTTTCTGTTCACCTTGGTGAACTGTCATCTCCCAGAGCTCCTTTAACTTGTGGCGTACCTCAGGGGTCCATACTAGGCCCCCTGCTGTTTATTCTGTATTTGCTCCCTCTGGGCGATGTGCTGCGCAAACATAATGTGTCCTTCCACATCTTTGCCGATGATATTCAGATCTACCTCCCTCTGAGGTTGGACTGCAAGGATTCTTTGCAGCCATTATTCTCCTGTCTGTCTGACATTAAGACTTGGATGGCTCTTAACTTCCTACATCTAAATGAAAGTAAAACTGAAATCATTGTGTTTGGGCTTCCTAAAGATCCCAACTTCTCTTTTGATTTTATGGGACCCCTAACCTCCGATTGTACTTCTTCCATAAAGAGCCTCGGTGTTATTTTTGACAGTGCTTTTAAACTTGATAAACAAATCAGCTCTGTAGTCAAGGGATCCTTTTATCATTTACGGATTTTAGCCAAAGTCAAGTCCTACCTTTGCAGGAACGATCTAGAAAGAGTGGTCCATGCCTTTATTACTTCACGGCTGGACTACTGTAATTCCCTCTATGCTGGCCTAGATCGTTCCTGTCTGCATCGCCTTCAACTGGTGCAGAACGCTGCTGCTCGCATGCTGACCGGTTCCAAAAAGAGAGACCACATCACTCCGGTTCTCTGCTCTCTCCACTGGCTCCCAGTTGCTTTTAGGATTGATTTTAAAATTTTACTGCTGGTTTTTAAGGTTTTAAATGGCACTGCACCTTCTTACCTGTCAGAACTCCTTAGCATTTATCGCCCCAGGAGATCTTTGAGGTCAGCTGACCTGATGCTTTTAGATGTTCCCAGGTATAGAATAAAGACTAGGGGAGAGAGGGCTTTTGCTGTGGCTGCACCCAGACTGTGGAACAGTTTACCTCCTCACGTCAGATTCTCCACAAGCCTAGAAACTTTCAAAACTGCTCTTAAAACTCACCTCTTTTCATTGGCTTTTAGAAAGGCTTAATTTACTTGTTTATTTATTGCCTTTATTAGCGAGGTGTTTTATGAAATTGTGTTCTATTGTTTCTTTTACTTGTATTTATTGTACAGCACTTTGGTCAGCCTTGGTTATTTTTAAATGTGCTTTATAAATAAACTTGACTTGACTTGACTTGACTTCCCTAAACCTGCTGTTCTGGAAGTTCAGCATTTCATCTAAACAAAAGGCACTTAGCCTAAAACTGACATAGATATGTTTATCCTACCATGAAACAATAAAACAAGGCACAACCTCTCCCATGCTCCTAGGATGTGGGTGTGAATGCCAGAGCACTCTGGAATGCACACAAAGTCTTTGCAGTCTATTAAGGATAAAACCTCTACCAACATGACATTGATTATACAACTCTAAGCATATATGAGTAGATATTTCTAAGCATAAATGACAATCAACAATACAAATCTAACACTGAGCGCTTCCTAACTACATTGATAAACACTCTTGACATGCAGACTGGAGAAGCCAGGGATCTAACCACTTACCTTCCGATCAGTAGGTGACCTGCTCTACCTCCTGAGCTACAGCCACCCACTGGGAAACATGAGTAAACCCTCACTAGGTTTTGGATAAAGTGTACACTCACAAACCTGTCCAACCTGCATTTGAAACATTGGCTACCATAGCAGTATGGTATTGCAACATGGCATTTGGGTTTTCTAACTAAAATAGGAAAATAGTGCCATCATTGCCAGACCTGGCCCACATCTGATTGACATACACCCTGACACGACACCGGTCAGTGAGAAGTTCCAGCTTGATGCAGGATCTGGGCCAGACCTGTTTTCTATGAGCCTGGGCCACAGAAACCAAACCACAATTGGGCTAGATATGGCATGCCATCACATAAACAGTGCCATCTACTCCAGGCCTGGCCCATATCTGGGTGAAATACCACTTACTATGCAAGAAGTCAGCCAGCAGCGCTGGCTTGACACGATATCCGGGCCAGACCTGCTTGCTATGTGGTTAGGAGCAAGCATTTTGGTAACAGTGGGAAGGAGCTCAGCCATCTGCCGCAAGCTACTAGTTGTTTCGAGAAGGACAGCGGACTTCTCTGAGAAGCTATCAGGCATGAAATCCAAAAACTAAAACCTTTTTGTCTGTTCAAGTAAGTAAGTGTAGTTTGGTATTTTTATAAAAAAAATGTGGGTAAGTATTATTTTGTGGGGGCATTTCTCCACAAGGAGACTTGAAGCAATTTTCTCTGCTGTTCATTAACACACACCAAAAGAACAAAAAATAAGTATATTTAATTTTATAAAAACTGATTTCTTCCAATTTTTTTACAAGAAAACTTTCACCAATCATCATTGAAATGATAAACTCACTGAACCTAAATCACTAATAACTAAGCAGACATGTTCTCAAAATGCACAAATTTATTGTCATAAGCAAATTATCTCTACATAAGGAAACACATTGAACTTCAGTGAAAAAGAACAGTTACACATGTAATGCAAGTGAAGGTACATGGACAGAGAATTTGAATGAGCTTGACTTGAGCATTGTGTGTCTAAATATTAAGAGGCATTAAAAACTAACACATACTAAAACAAGTGCCAGTTTTTGTACATACAAATAAACTAAGCAAATCAGTTTATTATCGTTTATTATTTAGTAACTATTGATATCTATGACTAGCTAGTTTATTGTGATGGTGCTTTTTTTTCTATTATTATGTTGCTCTTTGTTGTTTGCTGTCTCCTCTGTTTTTTTTTTCTCCAAACAGGTGACCCAGGAGTTTTTTTTGTTGTTTGTTTTTTTTTCTCTCTTCCCCCCCTTCTCACCGTCTCTTCTCCCCTTTGGTTTTCTTTCTTTCTCTCCCCCTCTTTCTTTCATTCTTTCCCCCTGTCCTATCCCACAGTTATGTCTGTCCCGTTTGCAACTGAAAATAAAATAAATTCATAATTATAATAAAGGTCAACCAAATGGACCAATATGGCAAGGCCATGATGATCCACTTGGTAAAATAAATCCGCTTGGCATCTTTCTTGGCCTCAAGACAACAATTCTGATGGCTATAGATCCAAACGGGACAAAAAAAAAACTAAGCCAATCAGTTCAGAGTCATGAACAGGAGATCATTAGCTAATCTCATGTGGGTAGTCTTGCAAGGCCAAGTTACAGAGCTCGTCTGATTTCTCAACAGGTGCAGTGGAACGAGTGAAAACAACAAAACCAGTGATGGCAAAGGAAACTAAGAAAGAATTCAGGATTGTGCTTGTTGGTAAAACAGGAGTTGGTAAGAGTTCAACAGGAAACACCATCTTAGGAAGCAAAGCTTTTAAATGTAAGCTAGCTTTCGGTTCAATGACAGAACAGTGTGAGAAAAAAACATGTGAGTTTGATGGTCAAAAGCTGTCTGTAGTGGATACTCCAGGTCTGTTTGACAATAAAAAAAAAAATACTGATGTGATGAAAGAAATCGCGAAGTGTATCTCCTTTGGTGCTCCTGGCCCTCATGTGTTCCTGATTCTGATCGAGATTGGAAGATTCACCAAAGAAGATGTAGAAACAGTGGAAACCCTTCATAAAATGTTTGGAAGAGAAGCATCAAGTTACACTATGGTCCTTTTCACCCGTGGAGACAATCTGGAGGGATATAAAACCAAAATAAAGGACTTAATCAGTGATGATCCAGCTATCAGGCGCTTCATCAGTCAGTGTGGTGGAGTATACCATGTTTTTAACAACAAAAGCAACGATCCCCTTCAGGTCAGAGAGCTGCTGGAGATAATCAACACCATGGTTGAGAGAAATGGAGGAAGATACTACACCAATGAAATGTTCAGAAAGGCTGAGAAAGCGATCACAGAAGAGATGGAACGACTTCAGAGGGAAACTCCAGAGATAACCTCAAGAGAAGCAAGAGCACAGGCAGAGAGAGATAATAAATTTATCCGGAGCTTTGTAACTAATACACTTCTTGGAGCTGTTGCTGGAGCTGCTGGAGCTGCTCTTAGTGGAGCTGTTACTGGTGCTGCTGCTGGTCCAGTGGGAGTTGTAGTTGGAGGTGCAACAGGTGCTGCAGTGGGTCTTTCAAGTGGAATTGTAGCTGTGGCAATGGAGAAGTGCATCATACAGTAACATTCTGTGTATTTCATTGTGCAGCAGTGGAATCACTGTGCAATGACAATAAAGGGTTATCTTATGTTCTTATCTTATTAGAAATAAGGGAAATAATAAAAGCAGCAATCTGTAACTGTTCTTTTTTACTAAAGGCATTATCTTTTCTAATACTATTGTCTATCTATGACACAGGTTATTTGAGTATTGAGTATTGATTATGAGATTCTCATTAAATTGTTAAATTGTTTAGCAAAATCAACCTATATTAAAACTGTAGAAGTAGGAAGACTGAGTTGGGCTAAGTAACTGCAAAAATAGTGATTAATTCTTCATAAATATTTTATAAATATTTAGAATAATTTCTTTTGGGTTTTTTGTCTTTAACTGTAACCTATGTTCTATTAACTTTGATTTTCAAGCACTTCATAATCAGACACCATTGGTTTCAGTTTCTTCTATCAGATTTTCTACTGCTTTTGTTGGCTTTGGGATGCAGACATCTCTCTGTCACTGCTTTTTCCACTTATAGATCAACGTGCTTCCTTATGTAGAAAAATGTAAATGTGGCAGAATGCAGACAGCAGGTAGCCAGCAAAATCTACTGATTTAGGATCATCCACACTCAATATCATAACACATGATGCCACGAAGAGAATTCTTGTTTTTCAAAAATCTGACAGAAGTTTTGTGCATGGCAAGAACATTTCTGCACAGATATTTGGGAATTGATGATCTTTTAAATAATGATTGGTGAAAGTTGTCTTGTGCAAATAAACTGTAATAAATCAGTTTTAAAAACAATTAAATATACTTATTTTGTTGTTATTTTAGTGTGTATTAATGAACAGAGAAATTTGCTTAAAATGTCTTTATCTGCTTAATTTGCTTTAACTGTGTTTTGACATAATAAATATAAGGATGCAGAATAAAAATATTTTAAGATCTTGTAGTCTAAAACACCTTGCAAAATCTTTGTAAACATAATTTTTATGTTTCTGTAATTGTTGGTCGTCTGATATATGCAAGCTCTTCAGTTATGTTTTATTTGTACAACATAATTACTGTTCATGTCCATGACTTTTCAAATTTACTGTTTTATAAAAACTAAACCACATGAACAGAAAAAAAGTTGTTTTTGAATTTCATGCCTGATAGTTCTGAGAGAAGTTTGCTCTGTTGGCTGAAATTCGGGTACAAAAATGTGACTACAGGTTCAGCCTGAGGAAGGAAAGGGACAGAGGATATAACGTGCAAAGGCTGTTGAAGATGGAGCAGACAGAGGTAGAGTGGCAAAATTTGGAGGCAGGTGATCTGCCTTGGAAACCCCTAAATGGTACAGGTGAAAGGAAAAAGTTATCAAAGGCTCCACTTCAGTAAAATGTCTTGTAGCTCCATAATTATTAAGTATATTAGTGTAAAACATTCCTTAATGGTAACACTTAATAATTACACAAAATTAAGCATAAATAAGGTATTAGTAAATGCTTGAGTTATTTATGAAGAGTAATGCTTCCTTTATAATTATGGATATATAATTGTATTAAACTTATTAAACTTTCTTAATAATATAACATTTTTAATGACAACATTTTAATACTTTATGAATGATGGATCAAGAATTTCTAAATAAAGTATTAGATCAAGTGTAAGCAAGTTATTTAGGAGCCTTTCATGGTTCATGATAAAATGTAAAAAATCTGAAGTGATTGACAAAGTATATATAGACTGTATCGACAATTATTAGGCAAGTTGTATTTTTGAGGATTAATTTCATTTTGGATCAAGGACATTACTCTTGGTCAATCAAAAATATTAATGAACCTAAACCAGAATGTTTAAGAATCTAAAATTGAGGTTTTGTCTTTAAGAGAATATATTTTCCCATTTCACTATTTGCATCTCACTACTGCAAATGCTAAAGTGGGAATAATAATACAACTCAAAATATAAACACACGCACACACACACACACACACACACACACACACACACACACATAT